CATGCGCAGTCCGGCGGGAGTCTGAGGCGATGGCGGCGGCCTGTGGGGGTTGAGGGTTTGGTTGCCCCCGGTGTGGCCGCGGGTGCGATCCCGCCCTGAGCCCGCCGTCCGCTGTCGGGGCTGTGAGAGGTCCCGCGTCCTCCTCACCGGAGAGCTTGATCCCGAAAGCAGCCCGGGTCCGCCGTCCCTTCTCCATCGCCTCATGCGCCAGACGCTGACCCCCTTGTGCTGTCTGGTATGGAGCCATCTCACACGCCGGAGGAGATCCGATTATGAAGAGATGAAAAAACCCTAATTCTGGGTCCTTCCACAGAGCAGCCCTTCAGGGGTTTTAGGGACATACGAGCTCTGCTGCCTCCCTCAGAAGCACTGCATGGAGCCCTGGGCCAAGGTCTTCCCAAGCTGGCTTGGTTTGAGTCCCTGCCTTGCCAGGGGAGAGGATGGGACTGCATGATGCTGGTTAGACCCAGACATCAGCCTCCGCTGCACACTCCCTACCGCCTGCCCTGCGGTTCAGGCATTTGCAGCCCAGGCTGAGGAGTCTGCTGTCTGGGATCCCATGGCAGAGGGTGTCTGCCACCCTGGCCTGTGGTCATGCTGTGTCCCCAAGCTGCTTGAGGTCTCAGCTAGGGGAAGAGGACATGGGACTGCACTGAGCTGAGGCGCTCCAATACCTCCTTGGTACCTGACTTGCCATGCCAAGGTATCACATCATCTGCCCTGCTTTGCACTGAGTTGTCACCAGACCCTATCTGCTGTAATTCTTCCCACAGACTGAGGGACAGGGGGAGAAAGCTGGAACAGGACTGTGACAAGGGAAATACCCCCGGGTGAAGAACTCCTATTCCTCCTTCTCCGTATGTGTCCTGAGAGCTGGGAAAGGCTGGGGAAATGGGGGAGGAAAGTGGGAGGATAAGGAGCAGTAATCAAGCCTATGAGGGCTGGAGAAGAGAGGAGGGGACATGTGAAGTGAGATGACAGGAGTGCTGGATGAGGTACCCCCGCTGGGCAGAGTGAGGAGTTCATGCCGGGCCAGAAGCAGATCCTCGTGGCCCTGGGGAATGTCTTTTATCTCACTCAACTGTAGCAGGAGTAAGGGGAGGGCTGAATCAATCAGTCAGACCCTCACAGAGCAATGGCAGGATACCACCTTATTTTTGGAAGGGAAGTCAGTCTGAAACTCAGCTTTTAACAAATACTAACCAAAACAGTTAGAAGAAAAAATCACTGGGTTTTTTTTGTCTCAGAACTGCAATAAAAAACAAACCTGAAATTTTAAAAAGTTATAAATCTTCCTTTTTGAGACTTTGCCTGTGAAAACTTGGTATTGCCTCAGGCCTCTCTAACATGGGGGAGGAAATAGCATGTGACGGAGAAAACTACTGGCTATGTAGAGAGCAAATACTCATCACATAGGGGTTTGCTTTATGCAATGCCGGCTAGAGATTTCAGCAGAGTCCTCTGGGAATTTGAATCCAATATATAAATAGAGGAAGACTCTCACTGTGTTGTGCTGTTGATGTCTTCTGAGGTGACTACTGAGGGAGGATTTCGAAGAGTCCTCTAGTAGAGCTGGAAAGAGCAGTGGGTTCCCTTTCAGATTTGATCTTACCATTTTCCACTGTGGGAGGTGGAAGGTAAACCTTTTGAGAGGTAAACATATGCAGTGGAGAAGAATAAGTCTGAAGATGTACATTTCCAACACAAGGTCCACACTTCTACTCATAAATTTTAATACTCTGTAAGCTGAAAGGAAACAAAAAAACAGAAAACTGAGGTAGTTCATTCCCTCAAGAAAAAAATAACAGCACGCAACTACACACACACACGCATGCACACACACACAAAAACCCACAGGGTAGTAAATCCCTCAGATTCTGATTAAAACTATTCCTTTAAGCTGGCAGGATCTACCCAGAATTAAGTATCAATTCAGGAAAGACTGCACATAGTGCCGTGAATACTCATTTCCCTCTGAAGAACTGCTGAGTGAATGGGCCATGCATCTTTGTCTACCAAAGGCTGTTTCATTCTCCCATCCCATGGTTCTGCTGTAGGCAAAGCTGTATTTACTTTCTCTCCAAGAAAAGTAGTCCCTCTTTATGCAGCACAGTTGAACTCCAAAGATCTCATGTTTATGAACATTACACAGAAATTATTTCAATGTGTACTAAAATGCAGATATATACATTTAAATGTGCTTACAGAGTAGCTGTGGAGTTGCAGAAGTTATTCCCCCACATGAGATGATAGTTATCAAAATGAAAGATTACTTTTTCCCATAGACTTGTTGCAAGCTAAATACTGGCTGTTTCAGGCACCATATCTAAGGTCTCTTGGCCTGGACCAGTGGAAATGGGATGCAGGGACTCTGACTTAAGAATGACACTAATTACTATTTATGTAGTTTTAGCTGGTCCGTGCAAGTTTTGTGACTGTAACTGCAATTGCATTGTCAACAATCCTGCAACAAGTCCAGACGTGTATCTAAAAAAAAAAAAAAAAAGGCTTTCTGCTTTCCAGAATGAGTGGAGAAATGGTGTTGATTAGCTCCATAAAGTTGGCAATAGTTGTCAGGAAACTTCCTGAAGTTTGTGGAGAAGTTCCTTGGTTAGGCATGGTGAACTGTCACATCACGTAGGATGGAAGTGGAAAAAAAGCAAAGAAGTAATTCTAGCATTTCTTATAAAGGTGAAACTTTGAGCTTTTTATTAGTAGAAATGTGAAAATACCGCTGTGGCAGATGTGCTGGAAACCTATGGTAGTATGATGCATAATCACTCCTATGGATCACTTGATTGTGAAAGCAATAGTGTAGTTTTCTAACTACAGGTAAGAAAATTCATCTTTCTAGGAAGAGAGCTTTGTGTTGCCAGCAATATTTTAGATCCTCTCTCACAAAGAAAGCAAACATTTAGCTGAAAAGGGCATTTCTCTCCTCTGGGCCATAGATACCTCAAAGCATAAAAACAGCAAAGGTTTTTTGGTAGTTGTTAATTTTTACACAGTTGGAAAGGGAGTAGACTATTGTCTGATTATTTCCAAGATCATAAGGAAGCTGCAGTAGCAATATTTGAAAAAGTAAAAATAATGTACTGCAGTCAAATGTTTTGACCTTGACTATCAATATTTGCAGTGGGTGATGCTTAATGTTAACTTGAGACATCAGTCTGTCTAGAAGTTCATGAGAAATCAGAACAAGTATTCCTCCTAGGTGTTTGCTCAGCCCATGTACAGCATGCTGCAGGAAACGGCATTGCAGGTAATTCGTTATTTGGCTGTAAAAGCAGTGAAAGAAGTTCTCAATCATACTTCCTCATCAGCTACAAGGTTTCAGGATCGCAGATGATAGTCCATTTTGGCAATACTGAATATGTAGGAATGTTGAGGCATGTCCCCATGGGGTGATTATTTCCATAGTTTTCAGTTGTAAGGATGTCAAAATACTACCCAGGTGCTGGCACTTGTGGAAGACATTTAGCATGAATGCCTTCTTGGAACTGCTATGTCCTTCAAGGCTGACAAAGGGGGAGATGACAGACACATCCAAATGAATGAATTCTTACATCTTTCAGCCTGCTGACAATGTCTGAACACAAGAGCAATCTGATTTTGCATCTCCTCAATTTTATGTCAGTGCAGTAGTTGAAAGGTAGCTTACAGTGTATGTAGTCGTTCTTGAAGGTTTCAGACTTGATGAAAGGCAGCATATGGATTATTAGAAGGAGGAATACTGTATGGTGAGTGATCAGTAAAGCTGATGCTTCAGGAGCCTGGCATTAGGAAATTTATCTACATCACAACTTAAATTCTAGTTCTTGAAATTTCTTAAAAATTCTGGAATTAACTACTTGTATCTGTCCAAAATGCATCAGTGAAAATAAAGTTTCTTTGGGTAAACAGGTATGGAAAGACTGAAGAAACACATTATATGCTATGTTAACCTGAACTCTCAATTGAAGTTATTTTCAATTGTACAAATTTTAAAAAAATTATTTTATTAAAAGGCATTGAAAGGCATCCAGGTTGCTTAGTAACTTTTAAATTGTTCTGAGTTATATATTTGTGTACTGCAGAAATGTACCAGTGAGGGGGAAAAAAAGAATGCTACATGATGGGAAATGCGTATTTTCCTAACACAATTCTTAAAATGACATGTTTGCCAAGTAGTCATCCCTTATTCCTACTAAGAAGACAGTCTCCCTCACACTGTCCATCATGTCAGAGACAAAGTTGTCACTTGATACCAGACTTGAAGTCCTAGAACATGGAACAGCTCAGGTTGGAAGGGACCTCAGAAGATCATCTGGTCCAAACTTTCGTGGAAAAGGGAGCCTAGATGAGATTATCTACCACCTTGTCCTGTTGCGTCTTTACAAAAGTCGATGCAGAGGAGGGGTTAGAAAAGGCTATTCCTCTTAAGCATTTTCATCCCATGGGATTACTATAAGCAGAAATGAAAGAAGACCAAAATGTGAAACGCAATCAAGAGGAAGCCCCAGAATGCCAGCCTCTTTCCTTGTTAGGACAAATGTGGATGGGAAAAGCGAGGGGTGGGAGAAGGGCTCTGATATCGAGGAGGTTCAGCCCAGCCACACTGGAAGTGCTTCCTGCATCGACTCTATTACTGCTGTAATCTTCCCTACCATTTTCCCCAGCTCCAGCCTACTGGCAAGATTATATGGACCCCAACCCCCCCAATCCTGCTCACAACAATGGCTTTATTCTCTCCTTCATCAGAGCATGGGCTCTTCCTCCTTCCCTAAATCACAAGCTGGTCCCATGGCTAAGGGAGAGCAGGTGAAGCACATGTGAATTATGCAAACTGGATGCCAGAGGTGAACTGCAGTTATGATAATCATTCCTTGATCTCCCTGTTTACAGAATTACAGCTGGCTTGTAATGGTGCCAGTGTCCTCAGGAGCCCTTTCTAGGGATTTCTGGGAACCACAAAAAACATGTTAGGAAGAGGATGGAGTTAATCAGTTGGGCTTTCCTGCTGCTATATTCAGCCTAGCAAGCTGCCTCCGACAGATGTTTCTGCTTTTAGGCCACAAGGAACTTTATTGACTGGCTTTCCCTGTGTTCAAGAAGCATGTAAAGCTACCAAAGACTTGTTTTCCATAAGAGCATTTTCTTGTCGGGTGATATTTTTCTATCTCTGGCGTAGTGGTTTTTAATAAATCTCTCAATAGACTGATCCCCCAAGAAAAGAAATAGAGGAAATCCGTGTTACCTGATTTTCTC